CTGCCATGGACCCTCGATTAAAATACGAATGGTGGGAAGACGAGAACTGGGGAGAGTATCGCGAGGAGGCTATTGAGATGGTGCAGAAGACATGGCAAACATATAAGCCATCAAGAACGCAAGAACCTTCCCCATCAAACCCGGATGCGTTGATCAAGAAGAGGAGATCGAACACGGACCAGCTGGAAAGATATGTTTCCACGGATACAGTAATCGACGAGTCCGACGGTGAGTATACTTCGATCGTTTTGGAGTTCTGACGGAGGGACGTGAACAGTGGCCAAGAGTTGAGGCAAATGGCACGCCGATACTTGGCGATTCCAGCCTCATCAACAGGATCTGAACGGCTTTTCTCCCATGCCAAGCAATACATCCCAAGTGAACGGAATCGGCTTGGGTATAGCAAACTGGAAGCAAGTGTGCTGCTCGACTCGTGGTCCAAGTATTTTGGTAAAGATTAAGAAGGAGTTACTGTTCGCCGTTTCCACGTTGTGTTAGAGAAAACAAACAGCGGTTCTACAATTCTTCGCACTCACCCTCCCTTTTTTACTTCCCTTTCCCTTGACCCACGGTTACCTACAAAAAAAATTCCACTTCCATTTCCCTCCCTTTTTTTCATTATTTCAAAGCCCAGCTAGTGCCATTGCCTCATTGATCGTTCGACTTCTTTATTACTTCCTTCCAGTAGCTATGCCCTGGTTGCTTTTTCTTCTTCCCTATCCTCTTCTTTTTTTCTGATGTTTACTACTGCTAAAATTAATAAATGCCACCTTGTACCATCTAAAGCTTACTTTTCAGTAATTTGTATTCAAAACTTAACTCTATACTCAGATTTCGGATTTGATACAGTTTTATACGAAACGGATTCGGATCCCATATTTACAATCCGGATCCATTCCGGATTGCAAAAGAGCTGATCTGTTTTATACGAAATGGATTCGGAATCGCTCGATCTGTTTCGAATCCATTAATGACGACCCCTACAACTGATATGATGGCGAATTTTGGGATACAAGAGCAATCTCACATCCAACGTGAAACATCATCTTTCGAGATTTGCACACTTATTATCATCAATAGTTCCACGCTGCAAACACCACGAGCACAATATAAGTTTATCGCTGCATACCAAAAAGCAGTGCACGCTTTGGTGCCAGTTCATATACCATCCGAGAAAGTCTTATTCACAGATCTTTTAGAAAAGCATTTCTCGCATCATAAATCCAAATCTGACGATTATGTCAGGTTTACAAAGATTTGGTCACAGCATATCAATGGAACAGAAATATTTTATAAAGCACCAAAGCATTTACAAAGCTGACATAACCTTACCAAAGAAAATGATAATACCAATAAAACAATTAAAAACAACATAGAAGAACTGGATGAAATGCACAAAACATTCAACTCCTCATCGAGAAAAAGAGCAGCTTCATCTACATAGCAACAACAACCATATCTACCTAAGTCATCCCACACTCAGCACTTCCAGTCACAGAATGCATCAGGCGAAGTCATTCAAACTACTTCACCTAGCTCCCTTTCAATGCGCCCAATATCTAACACTAGCATCCGACCACAACTCCCTCCTATCCTAGCACAACAGCCAAATCATCTGATACTATATCACACACAAACCTAGGGCAACTTTATACCTCAACAGCAGCAGCTATTATTCACATACCAGCAACAACAGCAGCAAATACATTTAACCAACTTCCAACAATAGCAACAACCTCTACCACAGTATACTTTTGTGCAGCATCCAAGTTTAAATCCGTATCAATCACAGTATCAAACACATATTTTCTTTCAACATCAACAACGAAATCTAAGTAGTATTCATCATAATATACAACCAATAATGCTGAAAAACATAACAAGTAGCAACTCCTCTGCCAGCACCAATATACTTAGTGGGCTGCGTAAGTGGCACAAAAAAACATGCAAAACATGTAACCGATCAGACTGCAATGGTAAAACCAAAGGTGCTCAAAATTGCCAGCATATGTGTACACAGTGTCATAAACCGAGCTACTATAGCAAAACCAGTGGCTCACAATACTATTCAACATATCGATGATTAGCTCTATATATTTTATATCACTTTAACACCATATTGCTATCATTAATGAGTATCTTTGCACCCCGAACACTAGATCTAGTGTCTCCTTTGAGTGTTTATAGCAGTTGCAGTTTTCGCTATTTTTTCCTCATATTTCAATATATACAGCATAGGGCCATGATATACCTACATGTCATTGGATATGTTTCAGAACGTATTGTTTGCTTTGTTATACATCTTTCAATTCGGTCGGTAACAGGTGGTAATTTTAGACACTAGATCTAGTGTCTACTTCGGGACTGTTTATATTCTTCAAAACAAAAGAAAAGAGGTGAAAAAAGATGATACAATAGTAGAATGGCACAATTAAAATTATTCTATATAAGTTTTATCATTGATGTTGTGTTTGTTTTGCTTGTAGGTGAATTCTATAACAACTACCTTTGCATAGACCCTTTGTCGGAGTGCAGCTGCAGTACAACGTGCTTTTTGCTTTGCAGATATAGCAAATCCACTGGCGAGAATACTTTTTGCCAGTTGCCTTGACAACGCGTTGGCCAATGGATAACAGATCACGTATCTCATTCTCTTGGTCCTGCTGCTGTTGTTCTTCGGTTTCCGTTGCCATTTTTACACTTAATCGATATTCGAATATCATCTTAGTACAGAGCTGCTCTCGAAATGCGAAGTGAGTAATGTTTCTTTTCTCTGGTGGTCCGAATGATCGCCATACAAGAAAAGCATTTGCTTCTGCTAAAGCCAAAAAGAAAGAAAAGGCTCGGATCTCCTAGGAACGTGTGCGAATAATATCATGGTATGATGTCATGTTATCGCGGTTGTTGTTATTGATATCTACTGCGCCTTTTCCAGCATTGTAGTCGTCAAAAACAGTTGGACGATGGAAGGTCGCAAGATAGCTTTGGTTTCCCCGCTTCATGACATGAGTCACCTCTGAGCCCAGTGTTGTTGTGCTGCAAGTGCTGATGACGCACTGCGGTATTCTGTCACGAAGAATACAGATGGCCATAAGGACCTCATCGATGGTTCCAACCAGCGAAATTGAAGATCCAGCTTCCTCCCCAAGTTGAGACAGCAAATCACGAGGTACATTGCGCGGCCAGTGTGCTCTCTTCTTCATTGCCATAATGCTGTAGAGCCCATGCTGATAAAGAACAGTGGCACATGCAGGAGTTCCAAACCAGGAATCAGCAAGAACTGTTCTTCTAGTCGCAAACCAAGGTTCGGAGAGGCACAAAACGGTGGAGATGACAGTACCTTGATCACCAAACTTTTTCTACTGAAATGTTTTCTCGCTGATATCGAGACGAATAATGATGTTGGTCGTTGCATCAGCAAGTGTTTTAAATTCTTGACCAACAGGATGGGGTTTGGAAATGATCTCCTTGACATTGGGATTCGCGAAACCTTTCCAACCTATTGGTTCATACTCTCATCAATTGTCAACATGCTTCCAGGTTCCAAGGCATCAACCAGATTTGCATTGTACTCGTCAACAAATGCACGAATAGGAATCAAAGGATCTTCGGCTCATCTTGATTGCATAATATTTGGATGCTCTAGTATATGAGCTGCAAGAATGGCGTCAAATCGGCGTCTTGACATCCATCGTCCAAAGTTAAGGGGAGAAGGAACCAATATCGTTGGATGTGTTCTCCAATAAAAGCCTCTGTCACTGCAGGGGAGCCATGCCATAATACTCCAAAGTCCAATCCAAAGGAAGTACTCAGTGGGGGTAAGTTCGCGCCAGTTTGGGACATCTATGGCAGCGGCTTGGGCATTGATAGTAGGAATGCAATATGTCGTGATATACATCATTAGGAGGAACCTCTTAAAGAAAGTAAGAGGCGTCTCAAAGATGGAATTGGCCACATTCAAAATGGCAGCTTCCTTGTATGACGGCCTTGTAGAACGCCTGTCGATCGTTACACGTTCACTGATCCAAATTTCTTCTTCTTCTTCAATGTCCCCTTCCTGCAAGTGCTCTTCAACCAATTCTCCTTTGTCACTGGATTCATCACTTGCCGACTCATAGTCAATACCGAAATCCACAAGGGCACTCGTATCTCCTGTTTGCATCCTAGAAACAATACCAGTAGGACTTTCATCCTCCCCAGACAGGTTTTTTTCGCATTTGATATTGCCTGCCTTGATCTTGTAGATTGACCCCTCAAAACCAACAATGCGGATGCCGAGCACTACCGAGTTACCAATGGTTTCAACCGAGGAGATCGTTCCATACAAGCATTCCTTGTTTGTCTTTGTCGTTCTTAACGCTATGGCATCCCTGGTCGTCTGAAGCGCTCTTGGTAAGAAGGACACGAATGATCCTGGAGCGTGATGTGAAATGTCTTTAGGCATGATCTTCTGACTCGAATTGGGAATGAATGTACTAAGTAGATATTATTTTTCTACTGCAGAATAATTTTTATGATGCTTTACTGTCTTTTTGCGTTTTGCTGATGTCATGCGCAATTTTATTGGGCGAGACTAAAAGGTTAAACACGGCACTAGATCTAGTGCCAAATTGGCTCAAACACTAGATCTAGTGTCGGTGATAATTTAGAGATTAAATATCTTTGAAACGTCCTCTTAAAGTATAGAAAATAAGCTCCTCTCTCAACACCCTTCTTTTATTGTTATCTGGCATATAGTATGTCTGCTATCATACTTTTATCCAATACAATCTTCTTCCTATAATAAACAATTGATTTATGCTATATACAAATTACTTCTTTTTTTCTTTTTCTAAAAAGTTCCCCTTTAGGGAACTTTTCTAAAAAAATCAATTTAATTTCTTAGACCCATACATACTACCTGAGCCCTACTATTACTCTTTTGTGATCTCTCTTTCTATTGGCTACGGTACCTATCCACCAAAAAGACTTTGTGACAACATTTCAAAACATGACACGTTTGCCTCCTATGTGAATCGAACACACGACCTTTGCTTTGACCCGCAATACGAGAGCAACGCTCTGCCAGCTGAGCTAAAGAGGCGAGACGTCTGACACGAAGTGTGTGAAGCTTTCCGGCCTCATTCATTTCTGACGAACGAATTCTGGCTTCGGCCAATCATGGACGATTTCGGTGGCGGATCTTTCTGCCGGCGATGGTCATGCGATCCACAGGTTCCCCCCCCAACTCCCCACAATTCTTCTCGCACCCCCCATCCGGGGATTATCATACTTCTTTTTCCCTTTCTGTCAGTTCCCTTTATTTTTCTTATTTCCCTTAGCTCTTTTTCTGTAAATAATTCTGTCATTTCCTCTCGCGTCATTTTACATTCCTTCAACTCTAAATCGTGCCGGCCATAGGCGCCGAATATTATTTCTTCTTTATGCTTCTTTTAACGGGGCCCGTCCCCTATATTTCTATCCGTCCTTACTTTCCATATTATACTCTCTCACGTACTCATGCTACCTGCCCTGCGTAGTTTATATTATTCTCCGTTGTCATTTTCCCTCGTTACCCTCACCTTGTTACCATGACCCTGTAATTTCATGGCCCCTCTTATTTTCCGTCGTACTCCCTCTCTTATGTTTCTATCCGTCGTATAGACATTGCTATATTCATTTCCCTATTTTTCCGTCTTCTACTCCGTCCAAACTACCCAATAGAGATCGTTGTCCTCTGTATCTGGCGTCGTTCTCGGCCGAGCGCGCCCAGTCGACAAGGTGTATAAAAGGGGATTAACCCCATAATAAAATAGAGATTAAGCGTTTTCAGACATATATTCGTGGATTGACAATTGACATCGGAAGTGGAACTTGCCGTTATTGTAATCGTGTATCTGTGTATTAGTATTTCGCGTTCATCATACCCCTGATTCCTTTTTATTTTCTGAATTCTGTCTATTTGTATTTTACCGCATATCAACCCTATTCTTCTGAACCCTTTCTACCTTTTCCCCTTTTTATATACTACCTTTTGTCCTTTTCCAAACACCACACGTGTCACGTCTGTCGAGTATTGCGCGCGGTTAAGACCCATTCCTTTTATACAGCGTTTTGTGTCTGAAACCATAAAATTTCTAGGGGGTGTAATATAGAGATGAACACTGGTGCGAAATACTGTATTTGATTGGTTGGAGAGTAGAAATGATTCGTGATAAACAGACTCTCCCTGGTGAGAAATTAAGGGCGTCTAATAGCTCACTTCCTTTTTTTTCATGGGCGATGGACGCTGTCTAAGAACGCATCAGGCTTATTTTCATAGTATGAATCAATCCTATATTCATCACAACAAAATTTCATTTAACAGAGGTCTTCCCTCACGGCTAACTTCCTTTTCCCCGTGGGCGACGGAGGGCATTCAACAGCACACTACGCTTGCTTCCCAGACACCAATCGAGCTTTTTCATCCATAACAACAAGACATTCAAATAACAGCGTGACATGTTCCACTAGTACGCAGCCAATTTTTAGAGCTTCAAAATCTATTTTGTGACAAGGCTTTCTGAATCTACAGTGGATCAATTCCTTCCTGCATCTCATTCTTTTTTTTTCGTCCAACAGGTAAACTCGCATTGCTGGCCATACCAGCTGTACTGCCATAGTCCAAGCGTGAAGACTGAAAATTTTAGCAAGTGCACAAACGATGTATATGACCTGATGCATTTCATCATAGAATTTATTCATTAGCTGGTGAGAGTGATTGCTCTGTAACAACTGCACACTGTACAAAATGTTCTAATAGGTGGACAGATCATTTTTCCCTGGTATGGCCTACTCGAACATTGTAGCAAGCTAAAATCACTTTTAGTACGAAGCTTCCCGAAGCAGGCATGCTGTATGTAGCACCTTTGAGCGGTGAATTTATTATGTGGAAGGAAGATAGGAAGTCTGAGAGTGAGGATCTCTGATTTATATGTAGAATCAACTTTGCTACAGCAGAAGAGTGATAATACAAACGTGATTTACTGTAACCAATGTCCACGTCTAGCTACACTATCGTTTCTAACGACATAATTATACTGTTCCAAACATGTTTTATATAATCTAGAGGGTGAAATGTATTGGTATTACAGTAAAAGTAGTAAAAGGAAGAGAACTAAAATCAGGGTTATACCTATATAATAGGCTGCTTTGCTAGGCATGCAGGAAAGTAGGATTGCGAGTGATCGACCCAGTGTTGGCAATCGGTTTCGGTCACTGTAAATGCTGCTTTTTCGATTCGTCCAATAAGGTCATCTTCAGTTGTCAGCGGTTTTTTTGTAACATGGCCCTTGATCTTTGACCAGCATTCTTCGATGGGATTTAAAAATGGTGAATATGTAGGGACAAAAATTATGCGATGGCCGCCTCTTTCGATTGCTTCTTCGATCTTGTCCCACTTGTGGATCCTTGCGTTGTCCATAACTAGGCACATGTTTCGAAAGCCCAACTCCTCCAGAATGTCCACCAAATCGTTAATGAGATCCAAAAAATGATCGCGTGTTGTACCATGGGCCGTTCTTTTCCGTTTACGAGATGACTCTGGTATCGTTTGCTTGTATTCTTCTGGTGGTGCATGCCTTGAAAGCAATATAACGCCTTTGCTCGACATAGCGCCAATAATACTGACGTTGATGGATCGCAGTGCTGGGACAGTAACAGCTGCTGGAGTGCCTATCTTTGACCAAGCTGAAGGACGTGCGTATGCCTTCGAGAACCCACACTCGTCAATGAAGACACAATTTGTACTATAAGCGATTCCCTGGGTCTTTAGGTCAGCAACAAAGGCAGCTCGCTCGTCAAGGCCCCTGGTGGAATTACGGTCGGCAGGTATTCTTTTAGTGCGCTTCAAGGATTATTTGAGCTTTTCTGTAATATGCCGATATACAGCACTTTCACTAATAGTAAGATCTTCAATATAATTTTAGCGATGTAGACTATGCAACAAGTTTACTTATACATTCTGTTGATATTTTGCTAACAAACCTTTTAAAGTACTGTTAAGTTTTTCATGCACGTCCTTCACAGCTATAGTGGGACACTGGTCAATCTTGGCTTTGATAAAAGCGGAATGTAGGCCGTTCAGCTTCTTGTTGTTTCCTCGTTCAACATCGGTTGCTGGTAGATATCCAGGGAGCACCTTTCTGTCGTTTGCTGCTTCCTTTATGATGTTGTATGCCGACGCTTGTACAATACCAGCCTTTGCAGCAGCTGTACGAGCCAGATCACCTCGGTTGATATGGAGATTGACGAGTTGACCGACTTGGCGTGCAGAATATTTATAACGCGTCCATGTATAGTTGACTGGCTCTGAAGTCATGATGATATCGTCGTCGAGTGTTGGTGCTTCATCAATGTCTATACTACTAGCTTCACCTGCGTCACCATCCTTAGGGACAACAGTCATCCTGTACACGGTACGAACACATGAATCTGCCTCAGTTTCTGGGCTGTCGCACACGTAGTAATCTCCATCTGGTTAATATTGATACATAGTGATAGTAAACTGTGAATCAGTAGCAACAGTGGCAGGTTGTTCTTGTTGCATGTCGTGATCCTGAATATTAACGATAACGAGTGGTTTAGAAAAATAGATAGAAGTGAAGAGTTGTGTATGCTCAAATGAGAAAAAGAGAGACTATATATATCAACTATAAAAAGTGCAAGGGACTTTGGCCAAGAACATAGCATTGGCCATGTAAATAAGCCAGAAATGTGTATATGGTATGCACCTACTAGTCACTTGCAGCAAAATTGAACTTCTATGTAGTAGTTCATCTGCAGTAATAGAATCATGTTCGTATCATTTCATAGTCACTATCTTAATTTGTTGCCACTAGCAACAATGAGAATAATTGGATGAATATATTTTGTTACAGTGCTATTAGAACACATACACACTCAATCTAAAAATACAACAGCGTATTTGATAGAGGGAAAATCATAAATAGTATATGGGTATTGATCACAATTATATACATGGGTGGCACAAGCAGCATTGTGCTGCAAGTGCTACATGCACACAGACATGGTCGTTAAATATGAGTCTAAAAATTTCTGGAAGACTTTTACAACTATGGATAATAGAGATATGTACATCATAATAAATAAGATTAAGATGGAAGCCATAAAATATAAACAGATCATCAATCAAAGGAGGTGCTCAGATGGTATGAAAAAGGGGGTGATATATTTGCTACATACACTGTCTATGCCATACTGTTTTTGTTACCTTAAGATTTTCATGATTTGATACACGCATGCTATTGCATCTCGGAAACCATTTATGTACGATCGATATGCTCGTTGAGCAGATTCTATTTATTACTCTCTTGTCATCAGTATACCTTTCTTTTGGCAAATGTCAGTCACTAGTAGACTGTTCACTTCTCCTTTTTTGTATGTGGTCTTTCTGTGCTAGTTCGCTCTGTGCAACTGTAGGCTATTATGTAGTTTGCTTAGAGTGCATTTGAACTATAATTTTATATGTCAGTACGTCCAATATGGCGATTCATTTCGATATGTGTATCTATTTAAAAAGCTTATTCTTCTCTCTCTGTTCTGTTCATTTTTTTTGTTTCCCTTTAAGGTTAATTTCTCCATGCAAAACGATAGTCCTGCTCCTGTAAAGGAGATTTGAATCGTTTGCATAATAGATTTTCTGCTAGTATACATATAATCGCGTGTTATAATCTTTGTATGGCGCACCATTTATGCATTATGTTTGTCGGATCAATGATTTCGTTTTATTAATTTATTCGCTCTGTACGAATGGTTCATACATCTGTTAGTTAAGTTCATTCTTTTCCTAAAATAGACTATCTGTACAGACTATCTGTTGCATTCGTTTTGATATATGTGCTCACTCGTTTAATATATTGGATCACGCATTCGTTCTGTTCATTTCGCTTTTTAATTATTTGCTAAACACTTTATTGCATTTGTTAGCTTCATTCTCTCCTTTTACTATTGCGTTTCATTAGCTATGTTTGCCCCCTGTGTATGTTACATTTTGTAATGCTTGCTTGCCATGATCATTAAATTCGTTAGATTCGCTTGCCACAT